CTCATCCTCCACACATCAGTCCACATCCCTTCATCCGCATAAATATTCGACATAAGAACATAAACCCCTCCATCGTCCTCTCCGATTCTCACAAGCTCGTCTACAACTTTCTCTGCCAAGTCCACACACCGATGAGTTCGACAAGATGCAAGAAGGGACACCCAAAGTGCAGGAGTTGGCTCCATCGGCATTGTCTCAATGAAAATTCTAGCCTCCTCTAATCTCCCAGATCGACCGAGGAGATCAACAATGCATCCATAATGCTCGATTTTGGGCTCGCTGCCAAATTCATTCTTCATCCTATGAAAGATGTCGAACCCTTCGTCCACTAGGCCCGTATGAGTGCATGCAGTCAGAACGCCGAGAAAAGTTAAATCATCCATCGGAGCTCCTTGCTTTAGCATATGATAGAAAAGCTCGAGGGCTTCTACTCCACGACCGTTAGTCCCAAGACCAACGATCATCACGTTCCAAGAAACCACACTCTTAGCACGCATTCCCTCGAAAACCCTTCTTGCAAGGTCCAAGCTCCCACATTTCATGTACATATCAACCAAAGACGTATTGACAACCACGTCTAATAAAATTTTGTGCCTTCTTAGATAGGAGTGTATCCATTGGCCTTGATCAAGGGCGCCCAATTGAGCACATGCTGTAATTGCACCGACGGCACAAACCCGGTCAGGCCTCGTGCCTTGGTGAAGCATCCGATAAAAGGTTTGCAGAGCCTCTTTAGAGTTTCCATGACGTGCGTAGCCATCTATGATGATGCTCCATGATACTTCATTCCTCTTTGGCATCGCCTCAAAGAGTTCTTTAGCAGAGCTCATATCACCAACTCTTGAGTACCCATTGATCATTGAATTCCAGCATACCAAATCTTTTTCAATGATCTGATCAAACAGCTTGCGGGCACGATTAATGTTGCAATCTATCTTCACATATGCATCAACCAAAATAGCCCAAGTAAAAGCATCTCTTTTAGGCATTTCATCAAACAGCTTCTGAGCTTCCCCCACTTCTCCACAGTTGACATAACCACTTATCATTGAGTTCCAAGATACCAAATCTTTACACTTACACCCATCAAAAACCTCTCTAGCTAAATCAATCTCCCTACTCCTATAATAACAACTAATCAACCCATTAACTACAAACAAATCAGAATCAAACCCAGTTTTAAATACTTCCCCATGAATCAACATGGCAAGCTTTTGATCAGAAATCAAACTGGAAGCAGTTAGGACAAATGGGTATGTGAAATTATCACTCTTCACTCCATTCCTCTTCATTTCGACAAAGAATCGGATTGAATGAAGAGGGTTTGAGGCCTTTGAATGGAGTCTGATGACAGTGTTGTAGATAAAAGTGCCAGGTTTTTGGATTTGAGAGAAGATGAGATTGATGTAGGAAGAGGATGGGTTAGGGAAGGGGAGTTGGGAGAGAGCAAAAAGGAGGCAGCTGTGGGAGGAGGATGAGTGCGAGAGATTGGGGTTGGTTATGGATTGGGCATGAATTTGGAGAATTTGAAGGGTGCTCTTTGCATTTTTGAGGGAGGGTTGAAGTGGGTTTTGGGAGAAGAGTTTGAGGAAGGAAGAGCTGGACATCGATTAATTTGGAAGTTGGATCCCATTTGATTTCTGAGACAGACAAGTAGCGGGTAACTTGGGTTAATGCTAAGTGTTGCTTATAAACAGAAGGATATATTGCAGATAACCCCTCATTTATATCTTTTATATTACTCAGCCATTTCTCAATTTACTTGTTACCATTTATTTTGTCAAAATATCAATTCCTGAAAATGAGTTGAAAGATGTAGATGAGATTATTAACATCTTAGCTTAAACATAATGAAACTCAGTTAATTCATTTGTAATCTGTTTTCCTTGTCATTTCTACAACCAATCTCACAACATCAAACAAAGGAATCAACTAAATTACCTTCTTATACAAAAATAATCTCTCTTCTCAAAATGCTCAGCTTTTAACCCAATTTGAAGTAACTAATAGGTAAGATTCACAAACAAGGAGCATTTCTTCACAAGAGAGAAGATAAAAGTGTTTCATTCATTCTAGAACGAACAAAAAACTATACTACAATCAATAGACAATACAAGTTCTTGCAAAATCCCCATCTACTCATCGTCAGCAGGGGCATTCTTGGAAGTCCCAGTCTTCTTGGGGAGCAAAAGGTTGTGGATGTTGGGCATCACTCCGCCATTGGCGATGGTTACAGTTCCCAGGAGCTTGGAGAGCTCCTCGTCGTTTCTCACCGCCAGCTGGATGTGACGTGGCACGATCCTCGTCTTCTTGTTGTCTCGTGCTGCGTTTCCAGCGAGCTCCAGGACCTGATCAAAGGAAAGAAGAGAACTGTTGAGATTTTTGGTTTTTTTTTTCAATTCCCAGAAAACCAACTTGAAGCCCAATAAACTCAAATCCAAATACATCAGCGGCGAGCAAATTACTCCGTTAAATAAACCAGATTTACTTCAAATAAAAAAGGAAATTTCCAAATAAATTCCAAACTTAATCCTGAAAGTATTCAAATGTAGTGCTGTTATTTAACTCCAAGCTCGTGAAATACAAGAGAAGAAGCTGATGACAACACCAAACTATCCGAGTTGATTCAGCCTCCATGCAAATTAAGTTAATTTTCGCACGAGGATAGTTAAAAACTCAGAAATAAAATGAAAATAAATAAATAAATGTATACGAATAAAAAGCACATAAAATTAAAAAAATGTAAATGCATTTGAATAAAAAGCACTTAAAATAAATAAATAAATGCATATGAATAAAGAGCACATAAATACAAATATATTCAGAGCCTCAGTATGTCAGTTGATGTCATAATTCCCAAGTAGGTTCTCCTTTTTCAGGGTCTTGGTTTCCATTTTGCAGACAAGTTCATCATAGGCAACAATTTTTCGCAGAAAAGAAAATATTTTTGGTAAAATAAACTATTAAACATTAAGATTGATGACGCCTCAGTAATGACCAGAACATCATTTGAATGTAGGAGCTTCAAGTAGGTTCTCCCCGTAAAACAGGGTCTTGAAGCTATCTACACCTCAAAAGTTGGTCCTTTCATCATTAGCAATATAAATTTTGTGTATTAGCCTAAAATACTCTTCAAATCCATCATATTTGCGGAGCAGCGGTATTTTATTCTTCAAGGAAATTAACAACACAGGGGTTAATAGGGAATAAACAACATATTTTCAAATTACGTTTAACAAGTAAACCAAATATTACGAAAAATACGACCCAATACAGGCTCAGAAAAATATCAGCGTTCTCAATCATGAATTATCTGAAGCAGAACTGGCGTTAGCTGTTATTTTTCTCATCACAGCCAAAAAATTTGTTATAAATTCAACTAATAATAAATGCTTGGTCACAATAATGCTAGCTCATATCAAGAAATTCAACCATTTTTTTATCCTTTTGCTTCATAGACCAAGTCTCAGAAGCGCGGATAAGTTGTAATCATAGCTAACATAGCAATCAAACCAAAATAATTCAAGAGTTGCAAGTTGAAAATTGACAAATATGGCGAGAGATTTTAGAGGCAAAACCATGAGAAATTACGAATAAGCCCCCACGTTAGCCCCGCCGAGTTCAATCTCTGCCTCCATGACTAAGCGCTTTGGTAGTGTGAAATCCGCCAAAAGCAAGGTGATAGAGCGCAAAACCACAACAACGTCGGAAAGTTCCTCTGCAAATATTCATCAAGCCCCAAACAAATTTGAGATATCAGCGTCACTCTTGACACAATCACTGAAAGATTACGTTAATTAAGACCAAGAACGTGCCAACACTGGCGACGACACCTTGATCTTAGCACGAGCATGGGCTTTGACTTTCATGAGGATGTCAGAGAAGCCCGCGGGTGCAACGTGAAATATTAATAAGACTTAACCACGCTCTGAAATTGGGCGTGTAGTATGAATGAAATTTTGAAAGCGAAAAAAAATGATATCATAGCCTTACTTTCGTAAATCGCCGCATGGCACAAATCTAGAGGTAAGGCGAGGATGAAGCAAGACTCCGGAGAGCACCGGATATGATGCCCGATGAAACCCTAGCCACCAATCAGTAAAACTAACAGTCATCCAACGGCGCTAATCATTTTACGATCTAGACATTGCTTTGATCCGGTTCAATTATCAAAACTGCGCATGAATAAAGTGTAAATTCCAAAAAAACTCTTTAACCTTGAGGGAATTTACACAAAGCCCCTGTGTACTTTTGTGAATTGAAGGGTTTGAGAAAATTTCCCTGAATTTTGCTAAATTTGCCTTTGGTGTTGTCATCATTCTTGCACACTTTCATCGGTGTTCAGAGATTACAGTTGCAATAAACTTCATAATTTTAATTCAAATGCATTTACATTTTTTTAATTTTATGTGCTTTTTATTCAAACAAATTCCCCAAATACACAAACCCAAGAATAAACTTCTATCACCAAATCAACCAATAGGGTCTCAAAATAACAACTTAAAACCCATGTTAACAACGAAACCCCAAATTTATTCCCAAAATGCCCCCAGTCCAAGAAATCTCACGAACACAGACGTCAACGAGCAAAATCAAATCAATTACCTCAACAGCAAGAAACTCCACTACGGCCTTGATCATAACTAAACATCATCTCAAGGAAAATACATCTAACCCCAGAAACCCCCAAATCTATTCCCAAAATGACCCCGCTCCAACAAATCTAATTAAAACGAACCCCAGCAAGAGTAGAATCGTATCAATTACCTCAGCGGCAAGATACTCGAGAACTGCGGCTAGATACACCGGAGCTCCGGCGCCAACCCTCTCAGCATACTTTCCCGCCTTCAAGAATCGCGCAATCCTACCAACGGGGAACTGGAGCCCGGCCTTGCTGCTCCTCGACGTCGCCTTCTTCGCCGCCGCTGATCCGATCGCCTTCCCTCTTCCCGCCATTTCTGATGATTTCTAGGGTTAGATTAGGGTTAGGGTTTCAAGTTAAAGAGGAGAGAGGATTTTCTTTCCTTCCTTCGGAATTTGATAACCCCCGAGAGTTTGGATTGGTATTTATAGGGCAGGGCGTGGGGAGAGATTTAGCCAGCGAATGGGGAGAGAGCACGCGGATTGAGTAAGTGGACGGTCGGATTTTGTTACAATGGACGGTCGGATGACAGGAGTTTTTTTTTAAGGAGATATTGGGATTGTGAGATCCCAAGCAAGTAGCTAGCTGGGTTGGTTTTTTTTTTAAATTTTTTGCTGCTGTGGGGTTTTTTTTAGGGCTACTTACGTTCAACTATATATACATAACTTGTGCAAATGCTATTTACGTTCAACTATATATACATAACTTGTGCAAATGCTATTTACGTTCAACCATATATTTTAGTTGCAATTACATTAGCAACTTATGCATAAGTGGCATATTTTAGTTGCAATTACATTAGCAACTTATGCAAATGCTACTTACGTTCAACTATATACATAACTTGTTCAATGCGATTGGACGCATCTTTTGCATGAAATTAATCTCAAATTCTAGTTTGGATGTTTGTACTTTTACTTGTTACTAGTTTTTATGCACATGGTTAAATATCAAAATAATTTATTTTTTATTTATTTCATTACTATAAATAATTCAGATTTATTTTGAGTTCAAATCTGTAATATTGAATTATTAGATTTGCTATGGCATTTATTTAAATATTGTAAAAAAAATCGATGTGATGGATTTTTGTGCTAAACTTGGATCAATATACTTAACTAGGATATCTTAATTGATTTCCTAAGAAAAAAATATCAATTGACATAATAATATCTTCAAGCAGAGTAGTAAAAGAAAATAAGATAAATTGATCCTACATCTCATATTCCAAACTTTACTAATCCCAAGCTATAATATGGAGTCAAGCGTGAATAACAATATCATTATGAACTATAGTTCTAGCAATAAAGAAATTACATTTATTATTGCATTGGAAACAGATTTGCACAATACTTTGGAACATTATAAGCTCATGTTTTATTATAAACAATCTCAAAAGCAAACATAAAAAAAGTACGACAAACATTATACATACACACACATACATACATATATACATACATATGAGATCTCAGCCTACATCATTTGATAAATTTAAAATAATAAAAAGACAAAAGCTACAGATTAATGGTAAGTATTGTATAATTTTATGTGATAGGAGCAATCACATAAGCATGCAAAATTATTAAAAAAAATTGCATGAAAATCCCTTATAAAAATTTCTAACTTTACTCAAAAAAAAAGTTATAGTATAAAATGTTCAAAAATATTATCATCTATTCTTTTTGTTTCATATTTCGGTTGAGTCGAGATTAATCTTTCTCTACCTTTATCTTTTTTCTAGGCAATTTTAGAGTAGCATCTTCATCATCTACGTCGATTGTGATATCAGTCTAGAGATGGATTTCTTGTGCTATTATATTTACTTCGCCTTATTCATATTATGTCTCATCATCTAACTTCACCGGGAATTTGAATGTCTTTCTGATAATCAACACAAACTTCAAGAAATATGCACTCTAATTATTTTTCTTTTTCACTGAGAACAAAGGTTAATTTCATATATATGAAAAATTTTATGATTTTCTAATTTATTGCTTGAATAGAGTTAGGAATTACCTCTTCTTTCTCTACAATGAATTGTTTTTTCGTGCATTCAATAAGAGTTCCTACTGCATCAAATAGTGTTACTTTTGTATTATTTGTGCCATTTTTCACGAGAATCTTAAGTACATACATGTAGTTTTCATTGTTTATTTCTATATATATGTTAATATTGTATCTTTATACACTGCTAGAAATACGATTATTACCGACGGATATATAGCAACGAACATTTTCGTTGCTATAAGTTGACATATAGCGACAGAAATGTCTGTCGCTATATATCCGTTGGTAATGTTATTATACTGACGGATAAGTTAGTAATGGCGACGAAAATTTTCCGTCGCCATTACTTTCTCGACAGACAATTTCTGTCGGTAAAAATCCGACGTTAATAACACTTTTAGCGACGGACATTCCGTCGATAAAAGTAAAAAATGGGAAAAAAATTTAGGGCGCGGGATTGCCCAAAAATTTTGGGCAGGCCCGCGCCCTGAACCCCAAATCCCCCCTTTCTCTTTCTTGTTAGACCCTAGAGGGGGGGTGATTAGGGTCTTATGCTAATCTAATCCGATTTAAATGCCAAT